ACACCTGGGGAAGTTACTCTGAAAGAAAACAGACAGATTATTCTTGTAGAAATAAAGTTCTGCTCAAAGTGTTGCAAAAGCCAGAAACAATCCTGAGTCAATCCTCTGAACAAAGTTTATTTTCCCCAAAAAACAAAAACAGATGTTGACTCTGAAAGAAGAAAAACAATAACAAAGTAATTAGTTAATCTTAAGGATAAATAAAGTTCTCAGTTGAACGGAAATGGGCCCCGGAACAAAGCATAAGATCAACTCCTCTTACCAGAACTGCAGAACTGCAGGTGAAAGAGTGAACGAAAGAGAGAGCGGCCTTTAAATAAGAGGTGATCAGGTGGACTCAATCAGGTTAATAAGGAGTGTCAACTGACTGAAAACAAGATGAAGCTCACCGAGCTACACCTGAGGACTGGAAACTGATGGTTCGTTGTATTTATTGTTCATGTTGCTGAAGAGAAAACTGAAAAAGGTGTCTTTGGATTTGAACCTTCCACCTCAGGTATCAACATCAGCTGCTTATCTCACTGAGCTATTTCTGCAGGTAGATTTTTTTTTTTCCAAAGGCTTTGTACCTGGGACACAAGGAGCTCCATTGAAGCTCATTTAACCAGGTTGTACATCTGACTTCTATCCAGTGTAAAAAATAAATAAAATGCAGTAAAAGTAAAAGAAAAAAAAACCATCAAGAAGAATATTGTGGTATATTGTAATTATATTATATTAGCTACTATTGCTTATTCAAGTAATAGTAGCTAACATAGTAGCTTTTCCTCCCATAGCAATGTACAGTGTCTCTTCAGTCTTGGAGGGGAACACAGCCCCGAATAGTAGCTAATGAAAGTTTCAGTTCATAACCCCCTCCTTTTACCACTGCGGAAGCTCGGGAGGGGGACACGGCCGCCTCTACTCCCCCTGCAGTGGGGCCAAGGCTTCAAAAACCCAGCACCGAGTGGGCCACGAACCGGGCTCTTTGTCCCATTGGCATCGACCAATCCGGGCGCTTTTATCTTTTTACTTTGGCTGCTGGAGCACAAAACTCAAGACTCAGCCTCTAAAGGGAATCAAACACACAACATTAGAGCTTCTTATGAGTCCTCTAACCCACAGAGCCACTAAGCTCCACACTAGAACCTTTTCTCCGGGCACTTTGGCCGCTGGACCACAAAACCTATTCAGCCTCTAAAGGGAATCAAACACTGAACCACTTGTTGCTGGGCTGCTCTTCTAACCCACTGCACCATTTCTTCTCACACTCTTAATGAGTCTTTCTAACAGCTTTTTACTTGTTTCTTTGAACCTCACACTTCAAAGTTCACAGTTGAATGAGACTCGAACCCAAATCCTCAAAACTTCCTCTCATTCTTCTTATCCTACTGAGCTAAACCTGAGGAAGGTAGAGTCTGTGTTGTTGTTACTTTTCTTTATATCTTTAAAGGAGCAAACAGATTAAAACACACTGTGGATTTGATCCCTCAACCTTCAATCATCAGGTAGGATCACCTTATCTCCCTGAGCTACACCTGAGGCTTTTCAATCATTGGTTCATAGTTGTATTTATTGTTCACATTACTGAGGAGAAACCTTTAAAGAAAACTTAAGAATCAATGAGGTTGGGTTTGAACCTTCCACCTCAGGTACCAACATTAGCTGCTTATCTCACTGAGCTGTTCTTCAAGGATCAAGTTCATGCTCATATATCCAGACGTTTGTGATGGTTTCCCCTCAGCAGTGTTACACCTGCACTCTTCATATCACAATAAACACATTATTATTCCCAAATTTACGTAATCTGGTTAGATAGACTCGGGGTTAGACGTCAGGGTTTGGCGCTACAAGGTTGGTAGTTCAGTCCCTGATTCTGCCTCATAAATTGCTTCCCTACTTCCAGACTGTTACTGATACAGTTAAACTCCATGAGTACAGTCAATTAAAACCCACCCTCCCACTCTTTGTTATATCATTCTCCTGATTAACAAAGTAAGTGTGTCTTTAAGCTGAACTCTTTATGATTGAAATAAATGACTCCAGTCTAATTTATTATATTCTCTTAAATGTAGAAAGAATGGCTGGCAATATAGCCTATAACCATAAGGGACACCTTTTGTATCATTTAGTTTATGCTTAGGTGATTTATTTTATAGATATTTCATGTTGTATTCAAAACTGTACAATGAACTCACAAATGTTTGTGTAAAACCAGAGATTTGGATGAATTTGGGGCAGATTATTTCCTGTTTAGGGAACTTGACAATTTTTTGGTTCAATGAAGAGTGCCCTCCAGTGGTCAGAGTTAACATTAAGTGTTGTATAACTTATTGCTGATTATTGACAAACGTTCGTGTAACTCATAACTCTTGACACTACTATATCATTCATTATCAAGACAATATACACACATTAGTATGACTTACATGTATGTCTGCAAACTATAAAGGACTAATGTAAGACACAAGAAAGTGTGCCACAAGCAATATATGTGAAACATATAATATATATATTTTTTTTAAAGTTTAGATGATTATTTAAGATGTAAACTTTACTTAAAGCCTGGTCCTGCATTAGAAGAGTGCAGCAGGTTTGCTTTGGTTTACTGTTACTGCAATTAAGATTATATGAAAGTGTGTTTTTAGGAAACATTAAATTATGTATTTGGATTTGTGTTCCTGAAGGTGATATTGGGGTTCTGCAATATGTACAATTACAGGACTAATTGTCAGACTTTGTGGCCAATTGTATCACATAAGAAGGAGAGTTTTTATCAGCTGTGTCTCTGATTATTCCTCAAGAATAAAGACACACTCCACTTTCCAACTATGTTCCTGTCAGATACAGTGGTGGAATAATTCAATCAATCGGCCATTAATCAATAATGATCAGTGGTTGGACCTCTCCAATATGCGAAAATTAGGCACAGCTTCCTTTATTACCTACCAACATGTAGTTGTGTCATATGGTCCAGAATTATTCCAGTAAATCATAAAGCTACAACTAATTATTGACTATTGATTATATCCACAAGTGTTACTGCACCACAAGAGCAACTACAGTGTTTAATCAGTTAGTGATGTGAGACAATGACAGGAATGTGAATAATGATCTTAATCAAGCATATTTATGCAGGAGAAAAGATATAAAAAGAATCATAATATTTACATGGTATTACATTGTACATTGAACTGCAGCATCTTCATGGCCACAATCTTTGTCTTTGTTGTTCGAGAGGCTGTTTGCTTGTCGCTTTCCCTGAAGGCTCATCAATAGGTGGCGTTGATTTCCTCTGACAATAACAGCAGGAAAACAACAACTGTTGTGTGCAAAGCGGAAAACAAAACTTTTTTGAAGCATGTTTTATATTAGGCTATATTTTTGATTAAAAGGGTTTCTATGTCCTGGAAATGCCAACATTGATTGAGTTAATTATATATATTGTAGATAGACTTCAATTTCTGTCTTTGTTTTTTATTACACAACTGTCACAGCATGTTTATATTCAACATAGACTCCTGAGTCATGTTTAATTCAATGTGTTTTATTAAAATGTTTCACTCATTCAGTCGATCACAGTAACAAAAGTGTCAGGATTTTGTGAAATATGGTTACGGTCATTTAAAAACACAAGTCCAATATTACAAACAGAGGGTGCTACATTATGCAGTGTACAACTGTGAAATCTCCCCAAAACATTTATTGATTTTTTGTCCACCCTAAATCCAAAAGTTAAAATGTAAAGGAAGTGCAAAAAATTAGTAAACTGAACGTAAAAATATCAGTAAGAGATTTATACAAAGTGCAACAAGAACAGATCATTGTTAAACAATTGTTAAGTGTTAATATACACAAAGGTTTGTGACGCCATGGTGAGACAATTTTGTAAACACATTCAGACATTTTCCTTTTGGTCAAGATTCACATTTAAAATTCAATAATATTGCATCAATATATATTTATATATATGCATGTATGCACACTTAATAGTTAGCTTTGTACACCAATACATACAATAATTTCTCGCTTGTAAAAATTTGACCAAATGTGCCCAAACGAACAGGGACTGATTAAATTTTAGCAGCATCTTTGGCGCTTGTTGCCAGAGGGAAAACCTGATTAGTCAAAAAATTTTATTCAAAATAAATATATAAATAAATACAGTATTGTGAGGCTCATAAAAACTGGCAGCCCTCTTTAGCAGGTTAGTATTACCAGTACCCTACAGACAGTGGTTTATTGCACGAAAGCAACAGGGAACGACTCCCCCTTGGCACGGACCCAACTCGAGCTGTCAGTAAAATGAGACCTGACACGCATTCACTCAAAATCCAGGAAGAAAAACAACCCGCCTTCCCCGAAGAAATTCTGCATAGAATTGAATGGATGACATGAGAGATCAGATCAGCTGCGGTCGTTTTGTTTCACACTGAACTATTCTATGCAGGATCTCAGATGTTAGGTCAACTTAACAGTTAACTGTTTTTTTGGTCAAACCCATTCAAATATCCTCTTTTTATGTTGAGGCGTAGTGAGTTACCCCAGCCAGCGGGGCGCCACTGCACTACTGCACCAGTTCATCAGTAGCAGCCGTCTCTCCAGGTGCTGTCACGAAGGGCACTGAGGGTGGACAAGCTCTTTGGAGGCGTCAGTAAACTGTGGAAGATAAAACAATTCTAAAAATCAGCTGATAATACAGACAAGGACATACTCACAAAGACAAAGGGTGTGAATAAGGCCAGCCACAGATTCATCTGATGTGCAGTAGACATGCTGCTCAATAACATGTTGCTGTTTAAAGACACGCTTTGTGAAAGCAATGGAGCGCAAAACAAAGTGAATTTGGGACATTAGCTGTTTTTTTAACCCCTCTGATTGATGATTACTAAACAAAAACAAACAAGCCCGCAGCCTACTAGCAGCTCTGTGAAGCAAAATGCTAAGAATACCATAGTAACGGTAAATCTTTACACCCATCGTAGCAGGTATACTGTAATGTTTAGCATAGTCAGCATTTTAGCTTAGCTTTTAGCACATTTGTTAAGTAGCACTTGAAGTACAACTCAGACTGATGGGAATGTCTTTAGTTTTGCAGGAATTTAGTCATGAACCAAAGTACAGGACAAATTGAAAGGTTTGACCTGATGATGATGCTCGATGAAAACCAAAGCATATATATATAAAAAGATATCCAGAGGGGGAACAGGAATGTCTGTACCCAGTTTCATGGCCATCCATCCAACCCATAAATGTAAACTTCATGGTAGCACTAGAGAAAGCTCAGAGGATCATCAGAGGCATTGGGATCAATGTTGAACATGTTGAGATATTTCAATTATTTTAATTCTCTAATTGTCTAAATGTAAAAGTTGTTGTCAGTCCTCCATTTTACTGATGCAGAAACTCACTGCGGTCATTTAGTTAATGAAGACCGATGCTATCTGACTGTTTAGTGCCCAAACAATGACTGCAAATCCCCCATAGTCACATATCTGATGTACTAGCAGACAATTCTGGAGAGTCTGATAAAACTATCTGGTCCTCAAATGAAAAGTGTGTATTTCACAAACAAATATGCTTTTTTATTATTAAGTTGGTTCTTTAAGGGTTTACCTTCGTGCTGGTTGGGCCACCTTGCTGCGAGGGGTTGAGCTTGTGGTGCCAACAAAGGAGGCGGGTCGGGGCAGGCTGCTGCGGGGCGTGTTTGGGGTGGACGTGGGCGCACCGCCTCCACCAGCCGGTTTACTGAGCAGAGGGATCCCACTGCCCACCCCAGCATTACCCCCGCTGCTGCTGCTGCTGTTCAGAGACTGGAAGCTGGCGGAGGTTGGCATTGAGGCCGAGCCCTTGATGGTGGGACTGACGTAGGCGGTGGCTTTCAGCGGTTGCCGTGACAACGAGGTGAAGTTCCCGACGCTCTGGACCCTGTTCTGCAGCTGTCCTGGGGAAGGGACTGGGTTAACAGATGTACAAGCAGAAAAGAAAGTTGAATTAGTGATCCTGCTGCATAATACACACACTTTAATTAAAGAAACAAGAGAACTGCCGTCTTACTGGAGGACTGCAGTCGAGCCAGCCCACTGGACGAATCAAAACTCTGGCTGTTACGAAGCAAACAAGGGGAAGCACTAGGATTGGTTGGAATGGGCACACTAGGCATGCTGGGAGCTCTGACAAGGTTAGGCATGCTCCTCCGCAGCTTATCTAACAAACACAGACAGATAAACCCACACAAGTGTTAAATAAATGAAATTAAAAGATACAGTAGGGCTGATTTTAAATTCTCAATGTACCATTATATATATATATATATAGCTGTTGGCCGTGCCTGTTCTTTTATTACGACTCCATCCCTTAAGACGGCTCATGCAGCTGGCCGAGATCTCCTTTACCTTAACAACAGCCCCCTCAGTCAGATATACACTCCTAACTCTTAATCCCATCAAACTCTCTCTCGTCTTAGAACACACGCCAGTCTGAGAGCTGTAGGAGCAGTTGTACAAGAGGCTTAGACAGTTATTATTAAGTGGTTAGGACATCGTTGTGGGTCAGTCCCGGGCGGTGATGGATGATGATCATAGATAAATGATGAGAAAACATAAAAAGTAATAAATTAATGGGTTTAAATAAGTGTCTTAATGTTAAAAGTTTGATTATTGAGGTTAGGGGATTTACATTTCACTCTGAATCAAGTGTAAAACAATGTCGACTTACTCTCATATTCGGCTGGACGCCATGAAGAAGTTTCCGCAAAACAATACGGCCAACAACATACACAAATACACAAAAATATTTAACGTACGACACACACACAAAGAGATAACTGATTAGTACTGTTTACAGCAATAACGGCAAGGTCTAAGCTGGCATGTTTCTCCCTCCTGTTTCATTAAAAATTAAAAGAGAGACTCCTAAGAGGTAGTCATTTAACAGGCATGGATAGTTGCATTGTGGGAAATGGAGGCTACATTGATTTTGACCACCCCGACTTTAAGGAAGTGCAATCGTGAGACACCAGTCTATTCATTCTGGGAATGCTGTTGCCATAAGGTACCTCCTTTAATTCAGGAGCAGTCATAACATCCTACCTTCAATGAAAGATATTGATTGTCAATATTCAGTTTTCTGGTTTCAATTTTCAGAAATGTCTTATTGTCACACACTGAGTGCCTGACTCCATCTTGATGGAGGTTGTTGGACTGTAAAAACACTGGGGACAATGATGGAAAGACTTTTTCATTCTACCCCTGATATGTTGTATTTTAAGAACCTTTTGGAGTCGTGTTTCTCGCCATCCAATTAATATCCACTCTCCTTTTAGCCGTTTTGTTCCACCTCCTCAGGGATATATCTGGCTCTTCCGTTGCTAAATGCTACACCAGCTAGTTGCTGACATTGGTCGACTGCCATTTGGTACTGGGCAGGTAGTGTCCAGCGGGTATATCGAAGCTTTTTTGCTGAAAATGATGTAAAATAGGCGTGAGAGTAAAACAAAACAAAGTTGTGGGCTTTAAATCCAAAACAATGAGCTCAAAGACTGTAAAACGCTCTGTGGATCTGAGGGAACATGCAGTGTTGGTTGATATATTCTACACAAGCAACCCCTTTTTTTCACATTATAAATAATCATCTGATCTACGGTTAATGTAAAATGTTTGTAAGTTCAGCTTTAAGGCTTCTTTCAAAGGGTCTGTTCTCACCTGATCCTGGTCTGAAGCCCTGTTTAACCCCGTGGCGTCGGCTGCCGCAGAGGCGACCAAGGGCCCAAGTCCCAGTCCCTGCGCTGTGGTTAAAGGCGAACCCAGCGGAAGGGTAACGGGGGGGTGAGGGGGTGGAAGGGATGGGGTGCACGGACTTGTGCTTCTTCGCAGGTCTCGCGGACTGGAGAAGTGTGGGTCGGAAGGCGGGTGAGGCGAGCTGCGGCGGGGCAGGGAGCCGTATCTTCCGTCTTCCTCCTCCAGGTCGGGGCCGGCGCTGAGCTGGCTGAGCTGGAAGGTGAAGCTCTGGCTGCGGCGGTTGGCCAGGATTGACGATGTGCTGGCGTAGTCCTGTCTTAGACCTGGGGGAGCGACATATGAGGACCAGCGTGCAAAACACACACACACACACACACACACAAACAGACACACGTGGCCAAGACAAACACACACACACAATCATCACCTCCTGGGGTTAATGAAGCTGAAGTAGCGATGAGCTCTGAGATCTGGTGTCATTTGTTAAATTATTAGAAAGGAGGGAACAATAGAGACAGATGAATGAGAACAAACTGAAATAACAGTCGAAATAAAACATTTTTCCAGTAATGTTCTAAAATAATTTTGACTAGATTTAACTTAATATGCAGAATAAACATTAAAGATCACTTGTTAAAGTCTGAACAGAACTTCTGTAGGATCGAACATACACTTAAAGTTATTACTAAATACAACTTTTACAGCTCTTGTTGATATAGAGTTTCGAACAGATACATCTTGAACATTAAAAGTTCATTTTTGACTGTGCAATCATAGTTGAACCAAACAATCCCAACAGTTCAATAGCTGCTTGATTTTATCCAAATAACTTTAAGGACTTGGTTAGGATACACTTTGAAAAGCTCCGGAAAAAGCTAACAGGTAAGAAGGTAAACGTTTTAAAACCTGGGTCTCGAGCTGCTTCTAAAAAAAAAAAGTTGATAGTAAGTGGATCTTGAGTTGGGATTGGTTTGTCAAAGGCATTTAGTTTCTAGTAAAACACTGATGTAGTTCTGGTATTAAGACAACATTTAACACTGCTCTGTTCAAGAGGTTTGACTTTTGTTGAATGAAAATGTTTGTATTTCTGTATTTATTGTATGAAAGAATATGTAATTATCAAAACTCAGGTACTGTATTACCAGCAGTATCCAACCTTAGTCTAATTTAAGATTACTTTTGGGCTCTCATGCAGATGTGGCCCAACCCTCCTATGCACACAAAATAGGAGTAAAATAGTTAAAGTAGACTTTCTATCAATTGAGTCTAAAACATTGGTTCCCAAACTGCAACCAACGGCGACAACAAAATGAGCCAGTTTTAAGAACACAAACCTTCTTTTCACAAATGATTCTCAGTTTCTGTTAAGAATCCTGACGTGTAAATAAATGTCAATATGAATCGAACAGGTTTACAAGACAAAATGTCTGCTATGAAAACGGTCAATTTCACTCCATATTCTCACACCTCCTCCAGTTTGGGAACCACTGACCTAAAATAAGGAACAATACAGGCAGCGTGCAGTGAGTCACGTTCCCTACAATTTGGAGTTTTAATTATACACCATTCCTCAGAGCAAGAGCTGTTCTGGGGACAGAAATACTGTCATTAGGCGTGTTAAATGTCAACAGGCAGTGATAAACTCTGCATCGTCAGTAACTTACTCTCCTCCTGCAGTCGGGCCATAACCTGGACGTCAGTGAGGTCTTGCAGTTTGTATCCCAGAGTGATGGACTCGTCCTCCACCTCTGAAGCACCGAGGTCACTGTCCATAGATGACTGGGGACTGAGCGTTGAGTGCCGGAGGCTGCGGCCTTCAAATGAAAATAAAAACCAGCGTAAGAAAACAGAATTGGCCAGTTTTCCCTCTCCGACTCCCTCTTGATCTGAGCCCACCTTTCCCGACCCGTCTATGACACAACCATCGGTGTTAAACAAATGAGACCGTCACAGTTTTGGCAGCTCGGTAATGAGAAAAGCACTCTTGAGTCTTCTGAGTGTCCTCCACATACAGCTGACGGAACCAAACTAATGGAGGCCGATACTTGAGTATATTAAGCACCAGTGAGGCAGAACTATTATCACAGAGGTTATACCAACGTCTCTAATGCTAATGATATTCCTCATCTGCACACTATGACTGCTCTCTGCAATAACCCTTTCCATCATTTGTGTTCTTCTAATTACTTTTGTCACATTTTGCTCTCGTGAAAGATTTCTGCGCCCTTTATTAGCCATTTTGGGTCAGCACATTCTCTTGATCTTTAATGGTTGGTAGATCACTTGAACTCCTTCCTACTGAGGAAATAGTCCCCACAGTGTTCAGACTGTTTACAGCGAAGTAAATACAATTATTCTCAGTAATCATTGTTTCAGGAAAGACATCTGTCAATACTATAAGCACCCCGAATTAAAAGTCATGCCGATATCTCAAATCCTGACAAAACCACAATTACCACAGTTACTAGAAGCTGCTGAAGGTTTCTTTCTTTTCTCAACCTGTGTAGCTCAAACTGTGTCAGAAACATTCCCCAACGTCCTCAGACCTAAAAGTCCCTTAGTCCTCTGTTCTTCTTTTAGCTTCATAATTTATGGTTTCCTTCCTCTATTTACCTTTTATCAGGTTGGTTTTATTATTAGGAGTGCAGACGTTCTGTTCTCTCACAGTTAGAGTTTATGGCCCAGCACATTTGGCTATGAGACTCTCTGCACTGCAAGAACTCTGTAGAGATTAAACATCTTCAAATTTGACAGAACTGAAATCATGTGTTTTTTATCGACTGTACAGTTGTGGAATTTGGATGTGATACTACGAAAATCCTGGCTACGGCTCTGAATAACGTCTTCTTGGTGGCACACAAATGGAGCAGAGAGATGAAAGCGAGGTTTATATTTGGACCGACTCACAATATCTAAACAGAACAAAAAAAGGCCTTTTTAATGCCACATTGCTGTTTGGACGAGCACTGTCATGGAATTAAGCTCGGGGGGGAAAAAGCCGCCACAGACTCCCAGTGGCGGTTAGCTCCAACGCGGCCTCTCTCGTTCCCTGCAGCTTTGCCCTCTGCTGCCCCCCCCATCACGAATAATGCACCGTTTTATTTCTGCAACTGAAACGTAGCTCAAAGCTGCAGTGAAAATTTATTCTCTTCACTCCCACGACTTGCATGAGATCACAGTTGAAATGGTATCTAAAAGAGCTTGTGGCTGACCCAGTTCTTCAGTGAGTGTCTTTACCTGCACATTAATATTCTGATTACGTTGAGTATTCAGTTTTATGTTCTGTTCCCGTTCAGAAAGCAGGGAGTAAGATGTGAGGAGGAGTAAAGGAGCAGCGCTGGGGCTTACTGCGGTTGTGAGGGAAGAACGTGGGAGTCCTCTCAGCTACAGGGGAGAGCTCCTTCCCTACAGGACTCAGCGTGCGATGGAGGACCAGGTGGAGCGGGGAGGAATGGGATGAAGCTGAGGGAGGGAGGGGAGAGAGGGGAGAGAGGAAGGGAGGATGACTTAAATATGACCAAAGTGTTAAAAAACGGCAAACGTACACTGTGAATGGCGACATTGGCGTTGTGTGGTTACCGTGTCTTTCAGTCGACTGGGGTGTGGAGCAGGGCTTGGCGGAGGGAGGAGCACTAATGGGTGACACTCCGGCCACTCGACTCAGAGGAGGGCCGGGGGAGGAGCAGGGGGAGGGGCTGGAGAGGGAGCTACGCCACCTGGAGACTGAGAAGGGAGTGCAGGGGGAGAGAACAACAATCATTAGGGGAAGGTTGTCAAAAGTATCGATACAATACTAACCCGAGGCAGCACAGGTGAAACAATGGATTTCTTCAGCTATCGGACCACACACACAGACACACACAG